AACCCGTCCGGCCCCCATCACGTGACTTTTTCCAATGGTTTTATTAGAGCGCGCGAGCAGGGCCGTACGGGTCATATGATAATGACGAATATTTACCAAGAGACGAGTCTTCGAGCGGCGAGGTAAATATCCCTCGATAATCACTTTGCCTCGTAAATATCACATGATGGCAGCCATGACAGGAGGCAGGAACAATTGAATCTGGTCTAATCTGATTTACATGAGAAAGAATTCAGTTTCCCAGTGGAAAGATACCCTATTATTGTGCCTCCTGCCATGGGTGATGTCACGTGATGGTGCAAAGCCTCTATAATCATTAGTCGCTCGACCAATCACAGCGCGAGAAACTCTATATTCAAGTCCATGAATTATACTAAATATGTATATTTACCCCTAGGGTTGGCAGAAACCAGATCATAGATGGTTGATTCACTGAATGAATACATCTGACAGCAATCATCGGAGACATCATTTTTCTTATAGGGAAGAGCTCTACAGTAGACGATAAGCTTGTCCATGGCTCCTTCAAGAAGTACCTGAGGAGACAATCTTATGTTTGATTTGGCTTTGCTTTGCTGTGCTTTGCTGTACTGTATGTGGTTTGCTATGCTGTGATATGTTCTGTGATATGCGTCTTCAGTGGTCCGCCTACAGGGTTATATAGTGAAGACAGACGGGGCCTACGGGACCTACGGGGCCTTGTACGAGAAGACTTGAAGGTCTAACCATTTGCAGATGTAATTACAAGACAGCACCTTCTCCTCAGTTATTTTAAGACCCAGAGTGTTGGTCCGGCCGAGGTTTGAACCACGACCTTCCGCACAACAGACCGACGCTCTTACCAACTGAGCTAACCGGGAGCTAACTTTTCCACCTAAGTCCTGCCATACACACATACCGTATTAAACACCTCTTCTTGTTGGTTACTGATATTTGACACCTGATTCATAAAAAAAGCATAAAATAATAATTAGCCTTGACGAAGTTGTAAGTAGTCTTCTCCGTCAAGAAAGGAAGAAAGTAAGGGAGAAAGGAAGGAAGAACGAACGAACGAACGAACGAACGGACGGACGAATGAATGAATAAGGGAGGGAAGGAGGGAGGGAGGGAAGGAAGGAATGAAGGAAGGAAGGAAGGTAGGAAATAAAAAACGAACGAACGAACGAACGGAATTTCAAGACACCTACGTCAAGCTTGTCACCGGTGAGACTAGTGGGTGAAGATGCCATCACGTTCAAAGACTGCGCAGAAACAGTTGTAGTTAACTGTGACACAGACTTAAACATAAGCAAGTACATTAATAATGATCATTGAAGATTTTCATTGCACCAATAGTCCCCTTCACAGTTCCCTGCGCCATCTTGAAAGGTAGCCGTGCCTTTGCATCGAGACGAGACGAACGGTGAGCTTCAATGATAGAGACATGTGAATAATTGTTCAAGGTGTTAAAAAAGGTCTCTATCATTGCAAGCTCACCGTTCGTCTCGTTTCGATGCAAAGGCACGGCTACTTTCCTCGAAATGTTCCCGTGACCCGAAATAAGAACACTGTTATTTTTTAGGAGTTGATATAACTCCAAAAGTGGAGTAGAAAAAAAAGGTACAGGATAACTCCTTTTTTGGAGTAACTTTAACTCCACTGATTTAACTCCCTTCCAAGAGTAAAATTTACTCCCATGAATAGTAACGTTTACTCCCATGAAAGAGTGACTTCTACTCTACATGGGAGTTGTTTTGAACCCCCTAACAGAGTCAAATTTATCCTTTCGGAGTTGTTATAACTCCCTGTTTGTCACCTTTCAAAGCCGGAGTAAAATTTGCACCTTTTCAGGAGTAGATTTTTTCTTGCTTATTAAGCTTCATCAATTCCCACTGTACGTTAAAGAATAATAACACAAATGACTACAAAACTACATTTGGTTTAAAAAATATTTATTACATATAAATGCCGAATTGATAAGTATATTTAATAACAACATTTTATGTCGCCTGCGTTCACTGCATGACATAATCTCTACTCATACTTCTTCATTTTTCAGTTACAGTCAAACCAGCTAACGTTCCTATCAAGGCTAGAAGATTCAGTTAATTATTTAGAATCTGATTTCGAGTTTGTTTTGAAGCTTGTATTTAATAATACGTGCTCAGATAAAAATCGTTTTATGTCTTCACAGATTTGTGCAAAACCAAAATTATTTCACTGTTGTATAGCTAYCAACTCAAACCCATCTGTGTGGTGTGATACTTTGAGTTAATGCCGGGATCGAAGGTCATTACAACCGCCAATACAAGTTTCAAMAAAAATTYGAATTCAAATTTCTGTCTATATCGTTAATGAGCATGTTTGGCGCCATCGAGCGCCATCGACAAACATGCTCATTAACAATCCTGTTAAATCTTTTCATTCTTTAACCATCGGTCCCTTTTTTCAATGTTCCAGCTGTGTGGTATATATTTTTCTACCGTATATATCAGTATTTCTTGAAGGAATACAAATCTTGGAAGACAGTTTCGTTTCGAATTTACCTCATCGTCAACAAGCTTGGTGAGGTGCGAGCCTCGTGCTTTACTCCGGCAGAAACCAAAGCATCATACAATTCAGCACCCATAACCTATGATAGGACAAAAAAAGCTATTATTAATGATTTATCATACTCAGCAATATACAAGGATGCTTAAGCTTAAATAAGAGCATCGCTTTGCAGTTACAGAACACCGAAAGCTTTCAATTTCTTATCAGTATTAACATAACAAACTTAAGTTTAAACTTTTTGATCTAAATAATACGAAAAAAATAGTAATTTACCTGCACAATATATTGAATCCTTTGAAAGTAAGTCATCCATTATCACAAAAGTTACTTTTGAAATAAGAATTCAATRGGTTTTAGGCTGGTTTTTAACTTCAAAACCCCGAGACAAGCACTTTCCATCTCCAAGCTTCAGGACACTGTTGCAGGAAATAGTGATACTCTATACCAGGTCATAGTCCAAAAACATTCCTGGCATTGCCGATGTAAGATCCACCAATCACGATCAAGAAAATTTGATACATGTCATGTAATGTGCAAGTGGTCTAACGAGTCCAACTTTCATGTCCTGTGTGGTATAGATCTTGTGCGAAGACCTACAAAAATGTTCTCTCTTACAGAAACATCTGATACGCAAGCACATCATCGCGAAAGATACACAACAACACGATTCATAAAATGACGACTCTGGAAGTGTTTGAGTGCTCTAGCGCAAGTGAAGTTTATCTGACAAGCGAGGAGCGCCAAGAACTTTACCATCGGTCCGATCGGGCAGAGAATGGACAATTTGACCCACAAAAAAGCCGAAAACTGAATG